GAGCTGATGATCAGTTATAGCTTTTTAATAACTTAATGTTGCATACTAATAGTATCTTACAGAAAATTATTTCTTGTTACTACACCTAAGATATTGGGTTTTTCTTCTTATTTTCTTTTATTGGGGTTTTATTTCACCAACTTTTATTAAATTTCATTTCAGATTTAATCTGGAAAAAAAAAGTGATATTAGTACAAAACTGTTTTATATAAATTCTGTTTTTTTTCATTTTGAGTGAACTTTAATTTTTTTTTGGGTGGCAAATACATGAAAAATTTTTGGGCAGGTTAAAGCTTTAAATTTAAATTTGTCATTTTTACTCTTTCTTAATTGGCAAATATGGTATTGCTCAGTGAATGTTTTTATATTTTAGATACAAATAGGCAATAGATCATACGATGTAAGCGAGATTCAGCGATTGGTTCCTCAGTTAGAGGAAGCAATTGCACGGCGGGATCGGGTCACTCGAGAGCTGGAGAACACATTGCAGCAACAAACTGAGAAGATCAAAAGTCTTGAAAAGGATGTGGAAACATTACAGGTACTTATTTAATATTCTGTATTTATTGACAGTTATAGTGAAACTTCATAGCTGTACTTGCTGTCTTCTGTTCTGCACTAACTGTTCGCGAGCGATAAAGTTTTTTCAAATAATAGTGTTGATTTTAGGCTGAATGTGATAAACTGCGTTCAGTTCTGAATCAGAAAACGCAAATCTTTATTCCACCGACACCGGTTTGTTTTTTTTTTCTGAAAATAAAATTTGATGGCTGTACTCTGCATTTTGGTTTTGTTGATCAAAAAATTTCTAATTGTCAGTTGAAGTTTTTTTTGGTGTTATAACTTTTTTACCGTCATTTTAATGTTGGATTTAGAAATCATCTGATGAAATTGATCTATCTTCCAATACTGAGAGTGTAAACAAAAAGGTTGCTGTTTCTGCAGAACCTGCACATCTGCCACTTTCTGACGAGAAACTACCAAAATACGACAAATCCGCGGGGTGAGTATACGCAGTTCGAAGAAATTTTTAGCATTTTTATTCTTTTTCTCTGAATATTCTTGTGCCCGAAATGTGACTGTCTCATTGACTTTTAATCTACTTTTTTTGCAGTGCAAAAAAAATTATCAGGGAAGCCATTGCCAGAAATGATTTCCTTAAACGTTTACCTAAGGAGAAGGTGCACAAAATGATCGAATGTATGTACAAACTACGTGCAAGGCCTGGAGAATGGGTGATTAGGGAAGGAGAGCCAGGAGACAAACTCTACGTGATTGTTGGTAGGTGTTGGTTTTTCAAATAAATAAGGTTAATTATGTAGTTTGACATGGTTCATTGTTGTCAGAAAAAGATAGAAACGTCAAACTTCTACATCGTAATGTAGCATTAAGTGTATTGAAGTCTTTGTTTTTTTTGCAAAAACTTTACCGTTGTTTAAATGGTTGTTCAGGTCATTTTTAATTACTTTTTTTTTATCTACTCGTTTAAACGCTCTGTAAATTTTTTCAAATTACATCTTTAGTGTAATTTTAGTAAAGTATTTAACAGTGCACGACACTGCTGAATTAATTAAAAATGTTTTTTTTTTGATATGCAAGTACACTTTCATTTTTTGGACCAGTCAACTGTTTATCTAAAACTTACCAAAATCCAACATTTTAACGTTTGATCTTTTAGCCTTTACTATTAAAATGAATATTTGTTTTAGCTGGCGAACTGGAAGTCTCTAGACAGGGTGCTGTGCTTAGGACAATTGGTCCATGCACAGTTATGGGTGAATTAGCAATCCTATATGATTGCGCTAGGTTAGTGATTTCTTCCTAAAGGTTTTGTTGAAAAAATTTAATAAATGTGCTTTACTAGACCGTTGTTATTCGCTTAGTGCAGTTTCCTGTTATCAGAAATAGAGGTATGTTAAGTCGTAATTTTTAGAACAGCATCTATACAGGCAAAGACAGAGGTTGATTTGTTTGTTTTACGTCGTGAGGATTTTAAGTTCATTAACACAGCATTGGGAAATCAAATGCACGATGATCTTCTACGCTTATTGAAAGGAGTATGGTGTTTTTACATAATTTGGTGTTTAATTTCATCTTTAATTTTATTTTTACTTTTATTTCTTTACTAACTGCTACTTAGAAGTTTTGCAGGTGAAAAGTAAAGATATAAAATCTTTTTTAGTTGTTGTTATAATTTTGTTATTTTTTCGATTCATTACCGAAGTTTTTTTGCATGAAACTAAAACTTTTCGTGGATACTGTTCGTGAAGGAGACTTCGTCAAGATTACTTTTTTAGGTACCTCTTTTTGCTGAGTTGCCTATTGAACGTATTTCGAGACTAGCAGACGTTGTTGACAAGGAATATTTTCCACCTAATGAGTATATTATTAGACAGGGTGAAATGGTCAGTTTGTTTCTTTGTTTATCATTTTCAGAAAGGAATTTGTTGAAAAGAATAAAGCAGGAAAAAACTTCTAG